GGAGCTGTGGAAAATTTATTGGGAAAGGATTTAAAATTCAGTCCTGTTTGTCCCAGTAGCCACGTTATGTGATGAAGGAGTTAAGGAATACAACAAAATGCATGCTAACATTCTGAAAAGGGAATATAACAATTTTTGTAGCACAGGAATGAGAAGTAAATCTTCCTTGTCTCTTAATGGAGATGAGATTGAACTTCCTGTGTGTGGTAGAGTACATTGTGTGGGAAAAAAATGTTATAACTCATTTTCTTTTTCCGTATGCAGCGAGATCTGGACTTCACCATTGACTTGGACTTCAAGGGGCAGTTGTGTGAGCTGTCGTGTTCGACGGATTACCGGATGCGTTAGCCCCTTTGTTCCCACAGATTTTTTTTTCTCCTCCTTCAACAAACCTTGCACCCAGAGCAAATCCTCTCTGTCATCCTATTCCGTTGACGTATCACTAATTCATTTCATTGTGTAGTTCCCTATAGCTGCACTCTGGGCCAGCAAGGAGAGGGTCAGTATTAGAGGAAAGGGGGAAATAGCCAAGATTCCCCCACCCCAAATCCCATTGCCCCTTATTTTCAAAAGGCTTCCCTTTCCCCAGCTACCAGGAACTGAGGCTGTTAGCACAATTGAAGACATGCACGTGGTTTGTCCGTCCGTTTGTTCTGAGGCTTGAGTGCCAACAGCAGGCTTCCATCATGAATTTTTATTTTTGTTAAATCATTGTTGGTCTTCTCTGCCAAACTGTGTTGCCTAAAATTTTACTCTCTCCCAGCCTGTTTTTTTCAGTGTAATACTGTTCCTTGTCACCACCTCTAGTGCAAACGTTGCTTGGTTTTCGGGGGTACATACATCAATTTGGCGTCCAGTCAGCAGGATGGGCATCCCAACAGGTTTTTTTAAATCAAGAGGGCACGTGGCGGTGTGGTGAAAAAGGCATCTCCATTTTGTGGGTGTTGTTTTTTCACTGACGGTTTTGTACTTTTCCCTCTTAAATTTCCTGTTCAGATCTGTGGAGGGTGATGGTGTTTTTTTTAATCCCTTGCCCTTGGAAAGCTGACATAGTGTGACTTTCATAACTTATGGTTTTTATATGGTTACATTCATGAGGAAAAAAAAATAAAGAAGTTGAAACCAGTTGCTCCTTCTTTTAATAGAAAAAGACAATGTGACAATGTATGTATCTGCCTATTAAATCTTCTGTGCAGTATTTCTGTGAGAAAAAAAAAATGTGGGAATGGGATGAAGAGTTGGGCTGAACTGTGAAGAACTCCAAAAGAGTCTGACCCAGGGTGTTTAATACAGAGTTCCTCAATCTTTCCTGGTTGGCAGCCTGGGGAGGGAGGAGAGAGGAACTGGTTTCATTGGAGGGGCAGGTGCATGCGCGTGAGTGGGTTTGAGAGTGCTTGCAACGGTCACACGAGGGGGCCCCTGAGCATCTGCAATGGTTGGGCCGAATGGGGCTGCAATCCCCTGCAATGTTTGCACAAGTGAAGCTTTGTGCATATGCGCATGCGCCAGCCACTAACGTGGCTTGGTTTCAAATAGACTGGATCAATAGTGGGCCAAAGCCCACAGGTTGGGGACCCCTGGTTTAGAACACAAAGGACTTCCATCCTGTTACTGATGCAGCTGTAGAATTTTTTTTACAAGCTAGTCCCAAGAGACAGAATAGCACCCCAGCCTTTCCATGTATAAAAATTAATTTTAAGAAATTGTATCTTCAGCAGTGGTTGCAACATAGACTCCTTAGACACACAGGTAAAGAAGGCTTAGCCTAGGAGAACAATGCAGGCCACATTGTGCCCCTAATATTTGCAACTGCTCCAATTGTGTAATAGCCCTAAATCAGGATGTCCAACTTTGGCCACTTTTAAGACCTGTGGACTTCAACTCCCAGAATTCCTCAACCAACATGGCTTCAACATGGCCAAAGTTGGACACTCCTATCCTAAACTATCTGAATTGTGAAACCAAGAGCATTTCCCATATAACTCCTCCACTCATTACAAATGTGGATTCAATCATCTTTAAACAGCTCAAGTGTATTAAATCAACCTCAATTCTTCACATTCTGTCTCAAAATGAAAAATCAAAGTTAGCATAACTAAGATGGTAGATGATGCTGACATCCAACACATATGGATGAAGAGGTGTTGGAATTTAATGGGGAAGATGCAATAAAGTAGGATTTGTTTTCCCATTTTCATTTTCAATACTACATTACTGGGTAAAAGAATATCTGTCTAATTTTCCCAAAAATATATTCTGAATGTTTTTGCTTTCTTTGGAAAGCCAGTTTTTGAGCAATTACTAATAAATGTGACAGCTTCCTAAATCAGTGGAATTGGCCCCCAGGATCTGTGCATCCCCAACATCCAATTGGAGGCTTCCCAGAACCCCAAGCTTCTGATACTGAATTTTGAAAGTTTGACTCCAAAGCCCATTTTATGGGGGGGGTTGGATGATTTTAGAAGTAGAAATGGGAGTGGTCTGCCTCAGGAAAGTCACCTGCTACAATCGCCCCCAAACCCAGTGGTTAAATGTGAAATGAAAAGGCTCCTGGTGACATCCAGCATTATCAGCTAGCTTTCTGTGATCCTTCAGAAAATTAGGAAGCCGAGTTGTGACTCGCAGTCTTTCAAAGATTAACCATCCCTTATTTACTGTAGACCCATCGATTCCTTTTATTGTAAAACCTGGCTATCGAGAGTTATATTAAAGAAAACCCTGTTTTATCAAGATGCTAATATTTCACTTGATTCAACAAAAGCAAAAATAAAATATTGATTGGCTATGGAAACAAACTTTACTTGGATTCAACAGGCACTCAGCCTTGGGGCTTACAAATCCTCAACTTGTAACCAGTCAGTGACTGCTTGAAGTTATGACAGACCCCTCCCACAAAAGGTACTTATGACCAGTTCCAACATCTATCCCCCTCTGCCCCAAGCACGTTACTGCATTTTGAATACTTGATAATTGGCCCACATTTATGGACATTTGTGGCACCTTCACAGCAGGCAACTGCAATTTCTGACATTTTGGCAGTGTTTGCTTCTGGTTTCTGGCAAAAAATGCCCCATAGCAAACAACATTGGGCTTGCTTAACAACCACTGCAAAACAGTCATAAAATTGGGTCTAGTCACCAATAGTGACCCGCTTTAGGATTGTCACAATTTATGAGATTGTACAGGAAGTCCTTGATTTACAATCACAATTGACGCCACAATTTTTGTCGCTATGTGAAACATTTAAGTGAATTTTGCCCCATTTTACCTCCTTTCTTCCAGTTAAGTGAATCACTGCAGTTATTAAATAACAGGGTTCTTAAATCAATCTGGCTCCCCCATTGACTTTGCTTGTCGAAAGGTCACGAAAGCTGATCACATGACCCCGGGATATTGCAATTGTAAATATGAGTCAGTTGCCAAGGGTCTCAATTCTGGTCACATGACCATGGGGAATGCTACAGTGGTCGTAAATGTGAAACAGTCTTCAGTTACAAGACTGGAAAAAGTGACTTGCGACCATTTTCCACACTTGCCACTGTAGCAGCATCCCCATGGATCAAAATTCGGATGTTTGGCAACTGGTTCATATTTATGACGGTTGCAGTGTACTGGGGTCAAGTGATCCCCTTTTGCGACTGTCTGACAAGCGGTTAATCAGGAGACCAGATTCACTTAACCATGTTACTGACAACTACATGGATTCATTTAACTGGCAAGAAAGGTAAAATGAGGCAAAACGCACTTAAATTTCTCATTTAGCAACAGAAATTTTAGGCTCAATTGTGGTCGTAAGTCTAGGACTTTATTTAGTGGCTTTATTACCTCCAGAGCTACACGCTATTTTTTGGGACCCTGAAGGAGGTGTTGCTGATGGTAGCATAGGTAGAATGGACAGCTCAACATTTTCTGTTCTGTCGTTACATTTGCTTTATTCTTTCACTCTATGAGCAAACAACAAGAAGCACAAAGAAAAGCTTTTGATCTCTCCCAAAGCCAGTGCCCACCGTGGCAAAGAAACAACAGGATGGAGCAAAGCTGAAGTCCTCTTCATGAGCTCTACAACAGGGATCCCCAACCGCTGGGCCATGGACCACTGCTGGCCTGTGGCCTATTTGGAACCAGGCCGTGTGAGCACCATGCTGGCGCACACGCATGGAAACTCATGTGAGCAGTGGGCCGGCACACATGCACATGCGCAGTGCACATGCAGCTCAACTTGTGCACCAGTGGTGGGTTCCTCCCGGTTCGGCCTGGTTCTGCCAAGCCGGTAGCGGTAGCAATATGACGTCACCGAACCGGTTCTTTTTGTTCGGAAGCTGGGCCCTCCCGCCCCGCCCCCCCCGGTTATTCTTACCTTTTATTTGGCCCCACCTCCAATCTATTGCTGCCTCCTGAGTCCCAGCTGATCGGCTAGAAGGAAAAAAACTGTTTAAACTCTTGCCACAGGGCTTCAAAGGGCTGCCCTACAGCTGATCAGTGTTAAAAGGCAGTGTGGTGGTAGAGCGGTGCCTCCAAAAACAAATGAGTAGAGCGGTGCCTGCAAAAATAAATGGGTAGACCAGTGCCTCCAAAAACAAAGGAGTAGACCGGTGCCTCCAAAAACAAATGGGTAGACTGGTGCCTCCAAAAACAAATGAGTAGACCAGTGCCTCCAAAAATAAATGGATAGACCGGTGCCTCCAAAAACAAAGGTACAGCTCTGCAAGCAGTTAAAAGCCTGGTAGACTAGTACCTCTGCTAAACCCTAAAGAACTGTCACATGACCATCAAGCCACGCCCACAAAATAAGCCACGCCCACAGAACCGGTAGTAAAAAAATTTAGAACCCACCCCTGATGTGCATGTGCGCCAGCCTGCTGCTTGCGCAAGTTGAACCTGCATGCATGAATGCTGGCCCACTGCTCGCCTGGCCTGGTTCCCTTCCCTTCTCTACAAGATTCTTTCAAAACAGCACTGAGTGTAGACTTCTCTCGATGATGAACTCAACACATCATGGAACAATTTCACGCACATGGTATTTTTTTTTTATTATGCATCACTGAAGTGAACTTTTTCTACTGCTGATGTTAGCCATCCGGTAGGTGGTGTCCATTTTAGCACAAGCTAAGGGGTGCACATGTTTATAGCCCATTTCCAATGGGCACGGTTCAGGTTTACTAATGCTACTTCTCCAAGGGTGCATAGTTCAGCAGCTTCTCAATCAAATCCACGTGGGATAGAAGCATCCGACGACAACAGTAGCGCTTCAGACCAAGAGCGTCCAAGGCATCTCTGGGGAAATGAAAGGAGAAATACGAAATTATGTATCTCATCTTTGTACAGGGCAATTTTGATGATTCTGTTTTCTTTGTGTAAGGCTGCGTAAGGTTGCCACCCTGTCTCTATTGCTACCTTGCAGCCTAATTTAGGAACAACAGAATATGTGGGATGACAATGTTTACAAAGGTTTACTTATTGATACCTGTACATTCAGTTAATGGGTGCACACTGGCTCCTACAGGCTTCAATATTTTTCATTAGATAAGATTGTGTAGAACTTAAAGCAGTGTTTCTCAACCTTGGTAGCTTGAAGATGGGTGGACTTCAACTCCCAGAATCCCCCAGCCAGCAGCGCTGGCTGGGGGATTCTGGGAATTGAAGTCTACCCATTTTCAAGCTTCCAAGGTTGAGAAACACTGACTTAAAGCCTTTCTTGTATGTATGTATGTGTGTGTACACACACACACACTCTAACAAGAGTTATCCATACAGGAAGTCCTCAACTTGTGACTGGTTGCTTAGTGACCGTTCGAAGTCACAACAGACCTCCCCAGGGCTACTTATAACCCAGATTCAAAATTTTGACAGCTACTTCCACTTGTGGTCTCGTGATCACATTTTGGACATCTGGCAATTGGGTATTCGCAGCGTTCTACAGTCACACGATTGCAACTTATGACAATTTTTGCTGGAAACCAGTGTCCATTTCTCTTTCCAGCAAAAAAACACCCATTGTAGGCAGCGGATTCCCTTAATGACTGCCGTGAAAAATATAATAAAAATCAGGAATGGTCACATGAGCTGCTTAAACAGCAAGACTTAATGACCGTAATTCTGGGATCAATTATGGCTGTAAGTTGAGTACTACTTGTGTTCCAGCCATATTCTTATAGCGTTTTATATAATGTGCTAATAATGTTCAAGATTAAAATCAAATACAGACCAAACTAGCGGAAACAGATTCAGCAACCAACCTTACAGCTTACAATAAAGCTAATGAAATGGTGGGTCAATTATCAATGGTTAAGGAACCAGCAGTAAAAAATACACCACGGAGAAAGTAGTCATAGTAGGCCTTAGAAAAGATATTCAGATGCTGTGATATGTCTACCTACAAAGTTCAGAATATCCTAAACTGTAATATTCCTGTGACACTACGGAAATAAAGTTGGACTTCTGTGAAGCATATTAGAAAGAGTATTAATGTTTGGTGCTGGAGAAGGCTCCTGAGAATACCATGGAAAGCCAAGGAAACAAATCAATGGTTCATTAAAAAAATATTTCTTACTCAAGACACAAATTACCAGATTCAAATTATCATACTTTGGACACATTAGGTGAAGACTTACTTCTCTAGAGAAAGTTCTAATACTGGGAAAGATAGGTGGAAAGAGACAAGGATAACCAGTATAGGTAGTCCTCAACATTTTGCCCCATTTTACGATTTTTCTCGCCACTTTTGTTAAGTGAATCACTACATTTCTTATTTAAGTAACACGGTCATTTAAGTGAATCTGGCTTCTCCATTGATTTTGCTTGTTGGAAGGTCACAAAAGGGAATCACATGACTCCGGGACTCTGCAACCGTCATAAATGTGAGTCAGCTGTCAAGCGTCCGAATGTAAATAACATGATCATGGGGGTGCTGTAATGGTCGTAAGTGATTTTTTTTTAGTAGCGTTGTGACTTCAAAAGGTCACTAAATGAAATGCTGTAAAGTCGAGGACTATTGTAACCAAGTTAATGGAAGGCAATGAATGCACCTTTGGAAGACCCGAAGGAGCCAGACTTGGGACAGATCCACCTGGAGAAAATCGATCAATGTGGTTGCTAAATCAACGCCAACTTGATAGCACATCATCAATACAGGTAGTCCTTGACTTACAACCACAGTGGAGCCCAAAATTTCTGTTGTTAAGCGAGAAATTTGTTAAGTGAGTTTTTCCCCATTTTACGACCTTCCTTGTCACAGTTGTTAAGTGAATCACTGCAGTTGATAAGTTAGCAACCAGATTGTTAAGTGAATCTGGTTTCTCCATTGACTTTGTCAGAAGGTCACAAAAGATGATCACATGACCATGGGACACAGCAACAGTCATAAATATGAACCCATTGCCAAGCGTCTTAATTTTGGTCACATGGTTATGGGGATGTGCAAAATTCATACCTGTGAAAAATGGTCATAAATCATTTTTTTTTGGTGTCGTAACTTTGGTTACTAAATGAACTGTTGTAAGTGGAGGACTACCTGTACATGCCAGCAAATATCAAAACCTTCTCCAAACTCACCCTTCTGTGTATTCGGCCTGCAAGAGGCCCAGGTATGCTTCCCATTTGTTCCCCACAACTTTGCCACAAGTGAAGCATCGTACAGGGATGATCATGGTGAACCAGCCTGGAGAGAAAGAGGAATCTGTGAATCAATTAGGCCTCTTAGAGGACCCAATTTATTTTCTCCAATCTTTCTCAAACAAATGGCCTATCTTTAAGAACAGAGATTAAAACTGTGTTATGTTGCATCGAAGTTAGAGGAACCTAAACTTCTTGCTGCGGTTTTTGGTCCCAATCAGATCATCTAGTCATCCAGATTTTGGTAGCCCATTGATCTGATCAACTTGTACCAACATTATTTGACCTCTTGGCACATCTGGCAGCATATCCAAGTCATTCACAGGAGATAAAATGTTTCTGTGATCCATGCCCAATAAGTCCAATAACCTTATTTTGAGCCCAATAAGATTCATATCCTTTTAAGACAGAATTTCTCAAACTTTCTGGTTTTGCAGATTGGGGGTGGGGTGGGGAGAGGAGATGATTCTGAACAAATGTCAGGCAAGGGTGTGTGTGCAGCTCCGTTTTTGCTGTCGCGGTCATGTGCTCACTCGCTGCTTGTGCAAGTGGGGATTTGTGCATGCACATGTGCTTACCTGCCACTTCCGTGGTCTGGTTCTGAACAGCTCATGGCCCGGGTAATGGACCATGGCCTGTGGGTTGGGGACCCCTGCTTTAAGATCTATCACACACTTACAGATGGTAGGAAGATCACAGCTTGGAATGAAATGAGGCTAAGACGGGTCATGAGAAATGAACATCTCCATTGCCCCTTTGCTAATGATAAAATAGGAGGACATTTTTAAGTCACTTGTAAAGCAGAAAGCATAAAAGGCTTGTTTTAAAAAAACAGTAGGCCACAATTAACACTATGACATTTCATCAGAGCCACAGCTTCTTGATGTGCAGCTGGGTGTTGCTGCCTCCAATGAATATTTGGTCCACATATTGCCTCAGTTTATCCCTAGTGAGGGATACTAAAGGGCCTCACTCTTTTTATTGGACCTCAACAATTTGAACTGTACAGGTAGTTGGAACAGGAGAGGTTTTGAAAAATAGATGGGTGCTGGTTAGGGAATTCTGGGAGTTGAAATCCTCACATCTTAAAGTTGCCAAGTTTGAGAAACAGAGCTTGATAGGCTGCTTCAAGATATGGGGATCACATACCCCAACATTCCCAGTCTTCAGTTATGCTGGCTTGCAGTTCTGAAAATTCCAATTCCAATATGGAATTTATTGGGAGCCAATAAATTGAGCTGCTACCAATTAATCCCAAATAGGTATGACATTCACTAAGCCACAGGAGATCCCCAAAATGGGACAATTTAGTAAACGATGGTTAAATTATTCATATTATGCTTTCACTTCAATGGAAAGTCCTTCTTCCTGTTTCTCCCATAAGATTCCCCACTTTCCTCTATTGTAATCAGAAAGATAAAATATAACTATCACAAATTACTTTGAGGAGCATAAGACATCAACCCTCTGTTTCCTGCTTGTTAAAACCCGCATGCCAGTCTTACAACTCAACACGTGCTGCTTTCCCATTACAGTATTGTGTCAATTTGCTTTAGAGTAGGGGTATTCAACCTCAGCAACTTTTAAGATTTATGGACTTCAACTCCCACAATTCAACTCCTATGAATTCAATTCACATGCTGGCTGGGGAATTCTGGGAATTGAAGTCCGTAAGTCTTAACGTTGCTGAGGTTGGACACCCTTGCTTTAGAGGAAAGAAGGAAAAATAGCTTTACCAGTTTAATTGTTGCCTATAATGGGAGAGAGGTACCTGACCTACATAATGTTCAATTTCTTTCTTTCTTTCTTTCTTTCTTTCTTTCTTTCTTTTCTTTCTTTTTCTTTCTTTCCTTTCTTCCTTCCTTCTCTCTCTCTCTCTCTTTCTCTTTCTTTCTTTCCCTTCCTTCCTTTTTCACTTTTTCTTTCTTTCTCTCTCTCTTTCTTTCCTTCCTTGTTTCTTTCTTTTTCTCTTTCTCTCTCCCTCCCTCCCCCCACTCTCTCTTGGGCCATAATGGACTGCAGCTTCGAGGTGACGGAAGCTCAGGATGGCTCCCGCCCTGGCCAACTCTCAAGTCCCACGTCCTCCCCTTAAATCGGCCCTTTCTTTCCGGCAGATCCTTTCTCCCTTTTCCGGCAGGAACCAGCCGGGCCCTTGCAGCGATCGAGCCCTCTCTCTGCCCTCCCGTCGTAGGGCGGAACAACCCTTCCCTTCGCCAACCCTCCCCCGTCTCCGCTCCCACCTTTCTCCGGGCTCCGCTTTTCTCTAGGATCGCGGTGCAAATGGTGTGGCGCAGGCAGCCGCGCGGTCACTTCCTTCGCGCTTCGGCTCGCTAGAGGGCGCTGCAGAGCGGCGGAATCTCCGCAAAAGGCGGAGAAAAGCTGCGCGGGGAGGGGGAGGGAAGCTCCTCCCTTTCCTCCCGGAGGACTTTTTGCTCGTCTGAACAAGCGATCCCGTTAACCCGGGGCTGTGTTTTGTTGTTGTTGTGGGCTGGCTTAACTTTTCTGTCTTTCGTTCCTAGGAATATAGGTAGTCCTCGACTTACAACAGTTCATTCAGTGACTGTTGGAAGTTACGCTGAAAAAAGTGGCTTATGGCCATTTTTCACACTTACGACGCCTGCAGCAAATTCAGATCCCTGGCAACTATTTATGACGGTTGCAATATCCTGATCATCTTTTTTGACTTTCTGACAAGCAAAGTCAAGGGGGAAACCAGGTTCATTTTGCAACTTTGTTACTAATTTAACAACTGTAGCAATCCACTTAGCAACCGTGATAAGAGAGGTCGTAAAATGGGGCAATACTCACCAAATGTCTTGCCTAACAACAGAAATTTTGGTCTCAATTGTGGTCGTAAGTCGAGGACCGCCTGTAATATAGTTAATGGATTTTGCAATTGTGTGCAAATCACTTTGCTTGTCTTGCACACACACACACACTCATTAAGTTTCTGTGGCTGTTTTAATCACGTGGAGGGTGGTAATGGGTCTCCTCTTGAGTAACTCCAGGTGAGGCAAAATTGTGGGTTACACCTCTCGCCTTGAGGGCTTTTAGGAAAAGCCCTCAAAAGTTGGCCAAGAGAGGGGCAGCTGGGAAGTGCTTTACTAGAGAAGGGGAGAAATGTGCAGGTAGTCCTCAACTTATGACCATAATAGAATAGAATAGAATAAGTGGCCAAGTGTGATTGGGCACAAGGAATTTGAATCCAGTGCATAAGCTAATCAACCGAGCCCAAAATTTCTGTTGCTATGCAAGATGTTTGTTAAGTGAATTTTGCCCTTTTTTACAACCTTCTTTGTCACAGTTAAGTGAATCACTGCAATTGTTAAGTTGGTAACAGGGTTGTTAAGTGAATCTGGCTTCTCCATTGACTTTGCTCGCCAAAAGGTCACAAAAGATAATCACATGACCTTGGGACACAGCAACAGTCATAAGTATGAACCAATTGCCAAGTATCTGAATTTTGATCATGTGACCATGGGGATGCTACAGTGGTCATAAGTGTGAAAAATGGTCATAAGTCACTTTTTTCAGTGCCTTTGTAACTCTGAATGGTCACTAAATGAATGGTGGTAAATCGAGGACTATCTGTGCATTAAAAATGCTAGGGAAAGGCTGCGTAAAGTTGAGCACTGGTTGCAAGGCAAATTCTTTGGCAATTAATTTGTGAGGTGACTTGCAGAGAAGTAGTGGCATTACTCTGTGGCAGGAAACACACCAAGGGACCCAGTGGCTTAGCCTTTTTGTTTTATAACCTTTTGTTTTGTTTTGCCTGGTGTGATCGTGTGAATGGGCACCCAGGATTGGGGGCTTTGCTCTTTCCCCCTTCTGCATGCATTCACTCAGCCGATGCAGATTGTATCTGCACCCCCAACTCTTGAAAGAATGGGAATCCTTTAGCCTCAAAACTCCCTGTTTTTCTCTAAGAAGCCTTTGCACTTAGACACACAAAATGTTTGTCTGCTTGTGTGTGTAACAGAATGGTGAAACAATTGAAGGAAAGCAGGAGGGGCAGGAAAAACCCACCATTTCTCCCTTCTGCTAACCAAAAAGGATTCCACAGAAGTGAATTGACGTGAATCCAGAAAAACTATTATACTACAGTATTATTTTTAGATTGGGGGCGGATTGAGACTGGTGTAGATGACCCAAGTTTCACTGGGATTAGCAAACGATCCTTGCCAGAGCCCCTTGGACTCCTCCCCAGATGCTCAAACCCGCCCCCCATGGCTGCCCCCTTTCCCCCCCCTCCGCCGCCCATTTCCTTTCCCCTGTCCCATGCCTGGAATTCACTCCCCCTCCCTTTCCATCCTGCATCTTGCTCTCCGAAGGAGCCACGTTCAGATTCAGAGGTACCTGGGACGGGACGGTGCTCCAAATCCACTTTTTCTTCCAAACTGCTGTGAGCCAAAGTAAAGGTGAGGGGCACATCTGATAGTTTTTATGTTGGGGAGGGGGGATAAGCCTGTGGGGGGGAGTTTGAGCGAGAGAAGCAGTCTCTTTCACTAAGGCTGGAAAGATGCTCTAAAAATAAACAGAAGAAACTTTCCCAGGGTGGAGGTAATTCTGCCCTTTATGTTCCATTTGGAAGGGATTGATCCTCGTTTTAAAATATTGTATTTATGTCTTTCTAAATTTATTCTTGAAAATTGATAACACTTATCATAGAAAGCCATCAGGACTGGAAAACTAAAAGGCCAACCATATATTTTTTCTTTAAATGTAGTGAGAAATATATATGTAATGTGGCTGGATGGGTGGGAGAGGAGACCCAAATAATTATTGTAAGTATGTGTGCTGTTTTAAAAGTTGGCCTTGTTCTAAAGACTTTTTAAAAAGTAATTTGTTGTTTTAGATTCTTTATTTCTCTCTCCTTTCTGAGTTATTATCCAAAGGGGCAGGGAGAGGGGAAGTCCATCCATTAAATAAAAATGGATTATATGTGATTAAAACAAACATCTGAATAAGTTAACCAAATACAGGTTTACCAGAGGTCAAAAAATCTGAGATTTCTTGTTCAACTAAAGTTACAGTTAAGAGAGCAGTCTATTTGGTCTGTCTAAAGTGGAGGAGTACATTTCTCCAAAATGCCAAGAGAGGGAGCGAGAAGAGAAACTGAAATATATGGCAAGAAATATGGCAGGGGGAAAGATCATAAAATGGAGGGAGCTAAAGCCAAAATGTGGCTGTTTTATATGGTTTTGAATAAGAATAGAGACTCAGTTTCTCCACTTCTGGCAGAACTAAGATTAGTCTCATGTGACTTCAGCTTGATTTTTTTTTATTGCTTCACTACATTTTACATGTGTCTATTTTTTAACTAGAGGGGATTAAACAAAACAAGCAAAAAAAACCCAAAACTATAGAAATAGAGGAGAATAACAAGATTTTATCAGGACTTCTCACATGTGTATGCATATAACATTTAATGCAACAGGTTCTATTTTTAAAATGTTAAATACTATATATTTCTGCTTTTTTGAAAGATAACGTCATTATGTTTGTAACTTTGAAAGATTACTTCTATATTTCTCGCCACACTGAAAGACAAAATAAGTGGTTTGCATTTTAGGTTTTTCAGTCCTTTTATGATAAGTGATCAGTTTTCAAGAAGAAATTGAGAAAGACATAAATACAATGTTTAAAAAAGAGCAAATACATGGTTATCAAAACCCAAGATTGTATCATCCATATGGGGAAGTTATGAGTAAGGGGTGTTCTCTGATTTTATAGACAATCTGCCATTATATTCTGTCCTTTTTCCTCTAAAGCAGGGTGTCAAACTCAAGGCCCTGGGGGCCAGATCTGGCCCGTGGAGTGCTTAGATCTGGCTTGCAGGGCCACCCTGGAAACAGTGAAGGACCGGCCCGTGGTGCCTCTACCAGAGAAAATGGAGCTCAGGAGGGCTACATGTGGCCCTACTGAGCTCCATTTTCGGCTGCGACAGCCTCCTGCAACCCTCTGCCAGCAAAAATGGAGCTCAGGAAGGCCGCCACAGGCGCCCCCAACACGAGTGATGTTGACTGGCCACGCCCACCATGGCCATGCCCACCATCGCCCCCCCCCCCAAGGTCAAACAAACCCCTGATGCAGCCCTCAGTGAAATGGAGTTTGACAACCCTGCTCTAAATAATTTCTTTGATTTCAGTGAGCCTTCATTTTTAACTCACATTTTTAGCATACTATTTAACATTTCTGATGGTTTTATTTAAAGTGTGCTTATACTAGAACTATTTTTTCCATAACAACAACAATCCTTTGGGATAGATTAGGCTGATTGAGAATGACTGGTCCAGGCCTGAGAGTGGACCGCAGTGTTTTTCAAGTTTCTCAACTTTAAGATGAGTGGACTTCAAGTCCCAGAATTCGCCAGCCAGTCTTGACCAGAATCATGGTCTCCCTATTCCTAGTCCAGTTCTAAAGCACCTTATCACGTTCGTTCTTTCTGCACGGTCTCAATCTGATTTGATTCAACAATTTAGAGAAACGGATGAGGTTCCGTTTCTCTAAATTCTCTAAAAAGATTGAGGTTCTTAATTCAGCCATCCAGTGAACTGCAAGAACATGGATACAGTACTTAAGATGACTCGTCTCTGAAGATTGGTGTCAGAGCAGAATGGAGAATCACTGTTCTCAGAAGTACGATATGGTGTAAGACTACGAGCAATTAAGTGAACCTAGTTACCCAGTTTGGATGCTCAAGTCATTAGTTTCTTCCATGTTATTATTTATTATTATTATTTATTTATTTATTTATTATTCGAATTTCTATACCGCCCTTCTCCTTTCGGACTCAGGGCGGTGAACAGCCAGAATAAAAAAACATTTATACATAAGTACGATTAAAAAATAGATTTAAAATAATTAAATTTGGCCCATAGTTTAAAATTTATCAATTTAAAATCCATCAAAATTTAAAACCAACCATAAAATCATATTAAAAGGAAATTAAACATCTTAACCTGCATTGACAACATAGGCATGTTGTCCCTTATAGATAATTCTTTTAAAATTGAAGAGCTTCAATTTTTAAATCAACTTCAATAACTGAAAAGGCAGGGGTGAAATCCAGCAGCTTCTGACAGGTTCTGCAGAACCGGTAGTGGAAATTTTGAGTAGTTCAGAGAACTGGCAAATAGCACCTCTGGCTGGTCCCAGAGAGGGGTGGGAATGGAGATTTTGCAATATCCTTCCCCCAGGAGTGGGGTAGGATTGGAGATTTTGCAGTATCTTTCCCCTGCCATGCCCACCAAGCCACGCCCACCAAGCCACATCATGCCCACCAAGCCACGCCCACAGAACCGGTAGTAAAAAAATGTGGATTTCACCACTATGAAAAGGTGATGATAA